TGCTAGATTACTTTCATTTTGATAATGAAGATTTATTTTATATTATTTTTTTATATATCAGCTAATGGTGATGTTGTTGTGTTCTTCCAATGTCCTCTCACTATTATTTTGTAGCTGCTGTCAGTTTCATGTCGGAACTTTTGATCACTTGGACTGTCTTGGAAGTTTTATTCTTGCCGAATCTCAGATGTCATCTTTGTCCATAGAATAATAGCTGTAATGCTAGCCCATGTCATACCTGTTATATCCATCTTTTTTCCCCGTCAGATTTCAGTGAAAAGCTCTTTTCTACTTTTTAAACAAGGTCTATCTCTTCCAGAAAAGCTTGTGTGGTTGTCATAGTCAATGTTTATAAAGATCCTCACCAGGAAGTCCGCTGGATTTCTCTGGCACTTTAAATGGCACTTACTTGACGCAAAACAGGGTCGTCAGCAGCACTTCTGGGAACAAATTTGTTGAATTTGCTTCATCAGGGCATTTTTATTTAGAAATGACTACATTTTTCTTATGCAACAAAGTCTCCAATAAATCTTTTATTGATTTGTGAATGGATTTTTTTTCTCCATTTTTAAAATACATCATCCTCAGTAGTTTTCCGATACACAGTGTGAAAATTCAAATGCATTATAAACAAATGCAGCTTAATGTTGCAGTTGCCTTGCTTGTTTGCACATATTTTAAGAAGTAGAGTAAACATGAGTTTTTTTCTCATGTTTCTGGTTGTCTTAACCACCAAGACTTTACCCACATGTGAAACTATGAGCTGTGATCACAACTGTTATCAAAGGGGAACGGAAGAGAAATGGCTTGATGCTTTTGTATTAGATTCAAGCATCAAAATAATATAGAAACAAAAAAAACACTTTATTCCTTTCAGCACTATCTGCTCATCCCTAAATAAGGATGTCTGGGAGGCTGAAGTCTCTCTGCCACATTACGGTGAAAAGTGGAAGTCAAAACATTGTGGACATTTGTAGAAATGGATCTGAAACATATTATTTTGCTCTTTAGCGCACAAAAGAGGTTGTGGGAGAAGCTATGAACAGGAAATCTGCTTTATTTTACACCACAGGAAGATGAGTACATTTTGCATTGTGGGGTTATGTTCCATTGAATGTGCCACACTGAATTGCACACATTTCATGACTTAATCCTGGTGTATCATGTTGAAACCCTCTCTAATGTGGTTTTAAATGTACTGCAGCTTTATTTTCATAATATTGCATTTTTCGTTATTGCTAATGCAAAGTCTAGGAGGCTTATATGAAGTCTGTCATGTCTGTTTGTTACACAGAACATCGACATTACCAACTTTAGCAGCAGCTGGAATGATGGATTGGCTTTCTGCGCTGTCCTTCACACGTACCTGCCTGCTCATATACCCTATCAAGAGCTCAACAGTCAGGACAAGGCAAGTACACTACTGAGTTTCTGCATAATGATCATGCCATATAACACTAACGGGAGAATAATTCATATTCAGTGGCACCAAAAGGTATTTAGACCGTTAAAACACACTTCAAAAACCTTTCATCATATAGAATATCATTGCATAAATAACAATCAAAACCAAGTGGCATTTACTTTAACAATTTTTTCAAATGTTAAGTCTGAGGTTTTTTTTTTTTTTTAGGTTAATCTTGGTTTATTAGTTGTCGTTAATCTCACAACTATTTATTTGTGATTTCAGAGACGAAATTTCAGCCTGGCCTTCCAAGCAGCAGAAAGTGTGGGAATCAAGTCCACTCTGGTAAGAGGTTTTAAATGGGTATTTTGCATTAGCTTGATCACAACAGCTCATTCAGGCCAGCTGATGCAGTAAATCTGTAGTTTGCACACAAATGGGCACATTCAGGAGCTCCGGTTTGCTCCGAACAACATGCACAAAGACCTAATGCAGATCTAAGGCACTCTATTAATCATTGAGTTAGGAATATTTCTGTCATCCACTCCCATCCTGTAAGCTGACAGCAGGTGAAAAGCTGGAAACACTTAATTATCAGCCAGCAGTATTTACTTATAGCACAATTGTTTCTTCTCTATTGTTAACTACTTAAACAATAAGTTCAGCATGCACATACTGAAAGCACCTCTGAAGCTCTTGAGAATCTAAGCAACTCATATAGCAAGTCATAGAAATTAATCTAATATTAAAAATCATTGCACAGTTGTGGACATTTCCACGAAGAATATACATTTTTCATGTTGTTTTGTTCAGAAATGTTTTGCCTATAATTTGATAGATAATCAGTGACTAGATTGTTTTTGTGTGTGTGCTAGTATTACACTACAGTTCAAATGTTGTTGTTGTTGTTTTTTAAGTCTCTCGTGCTCACTAAGGCTGCATCTTCAGTTTTTTTGATCAAAAATACAGTGAAAATAATATTGTCATTTAAAATATTACTACAATTTAAAACTTTAGTTTTAAGTTTTTATTGTAATATATTTTCAAATGTATTTCTATGATAGCAAAGCTAAAATTTCATTCTTCAGTGTAACATGATCTTTCTGAAATCATTCTAATATGCTGATTTGCTGCCCAGGAAGCATTTCCTTTTATTATCAATGTTCAAAAGAACAGCATTTATTAAAAATAGAAATTGTTACTGTCACTTTTAATCAATTGCTAAATTCCTTGCTGAATAAAAGTATTCATTCAAAAAAAAAAAAATCTTATCGACCCCAAACTTTTGAATAGTAGTGTATTAAAATTACATAAATCTCTATAAAATTATTTTTTACAAATTTTAGTTGATAAGTGATATAATGCACCTCTCTCAAACACACTTTAATTTTCACTCTCCTTCTCTTTCAGGACATCAATGACATGGTCCATACAGAAAGACCAGACTGGCAGAGTGTTATGACTTACGTCACCTCTATCTACAAGTATTTTGAGACCTGAGCACATGTACTTTTATAAATTGTCAAACCAATGCAACAGATTATCACCAACTAACCTGAGTGCAACATCCCACCATATCATATAAGCCTAATCCTAGCACAAAGTCATATTAAACTGATCACAGTTCAGTTAGCATATGCTGATATGGCATCGATATGTCAAAGAAAATCCTCTACAGTGGAGCCACTAATGCAGAATCCGTTTGCATTGATAATGCTGAGTGACTAACACTACAGACTACAGCTAGTTACTAATTCTTAGTGTGGATGATCGGAGACTGAGTCTTAAGGAACAGCGTGGACCCGCTTGCGACCCCGTGCCTTTCACCACCCTGAGTTCTTGCTTCCAGACAGGCATTTGGAGCAAGTTCTTCACCTTAATTCACAGCCGTGCAACAATGGAGCTCGAGACGTGCGGATTGCTCGAAGCAGTGCCTAATTGAAACACTTCATTGGAGAAGCACTTCAGTAGCGGAGTATTGTACACTAATAGGAGTTATTCACTATAGCACACAATCAGTGGTTAAACTTTTTTTTTTTTACAGGACTGTTTTAAAAGCTCATCGAGGGCACATTATGTTACGACTGTGATGGATCTTGGCTTGAAATACTACATATTAAATAGGGAGGTCAGCAATAAGCTTATGTAACCCGTTGAGCCATTTCATATGACATTAGTGCTGCTTACCAACAGTATGATACTGTAGTAAACACTACATTCAGATTAGCAGCACGTGTGCATGTACTGTCCAGTGTATTAGTCTGAAATAGTATACCAAAAATGAAATGTCACGATGTAATTTTGTTTGTAAGCTAACTTCCTTCTGTACTAATCAAATGGTATGTTCTTTCTCAGGATAAGAAAGTCTTATTGATATTTATCAAGATGAATAATCCTATGCAATGCATAATATGTTATGTACATTGCTCTACCAATACCCGCACATTTTATTGTTTGCAAAGCACAAAAATCATTTTACATTCACTAATTCAAAATGTAATTTGCATTAATATGTATGTATATGGAGAGTTTGAGAGTGTGAGAAAAAGGATAGTTGTCACATATATCCTGTTTTCCAGCTGTGCTGAATTCAGGCATTGCTTTCTTTTCATGAGTTTGAAAGACTTTGACGTTTCCCACCTGTCTGCAAATAACACTTTAAAGGCAATATAAGACATAAAAATAAATAACAATAATGATAAAATAGGAATTTTTCATGAGTGCAATGAAATAAATGTGAGGTATGTATCTTATTTTCTAAACCCTTTGATTCTTTTAATAGAGCATTTAATATTTCCATTCCTCAGGAAGCATTTCACATTGTTTGAAATAATTCCTATTCAAATTCCAGGGTGTGTAACTAGGCAGCAATTTTTAGCTCTCGAACATCTGAAAGACAAATCTGCAGTTTCCTTGGTAAGCGTTTAAGATTTATTCCAAACTGCATTACTGAGCTACTTTACCTTTGGATCACATAATAATTAAAAGTAAGTGTCAGAATAATCTTTATATTTGTCCCGAATAAAGCCTGGCCAAATGTTTTGTTCATGAGCCTCATATCAGCTTCATTTACTAAACGAGGCATGTTGAGTTGACATGCGTTCTGTATGTGTGTTTAATGTGCTTCATCCAGCTTTCATCACATTAATATGAATGTAATACAGCTCTGTTGCTTTTTTGATTGTTAATAATTTACACCAGTTTTCAGTTCTTGAATGCTGAACATACTTTTGCTGCCATTTGTTTAGTTTTTTTTTTTATCATTATGAGTGTGTTATCTTAATAAAATCAAGGGTAAAATTATTTCCTTTTTTTCAAATTCCAGGGTGTGTAACTAGGCAGCCATTTTTAGCTCTCGAACATCTGAAAGACAAATCTGCAGTTTCCTTGGTAAGCGTTTAAGATTTGTTCCAAACTGCATTACTGAGCTACTTTACCTTTGGATCACATAATAATTAAAAGTAAGTGTCAGAATAATCTTTATATTTGTCCCGAATAAAGCCTGGCCAAATGTTTTGTTCATGAGCCTCATATCAGCTTCATTTACTAAACGAGGCATGTTGAGTTGACATGCGTTCTGTATGTGTGTTTAATGTGCTTCATCCAGCTTTCATCACATTAATATGAATGTAATACAGCTCTGTTGCTTTTTTGATTGTTAATAATTTACACCAGTTTTCAGTTCTTGAATGCTGAACATACTTTTGCTGCCATTTGTTTAGTTTTTTTTTTTATCATTATGAGTGTGTTATCTTAATAAAATCAAGGGTAAAATTATTTCCTTTTTTATGAATAAATGTGAAGAGCAATCAATATGCTGTTCCTCCTAAACGAATCGGTCATGAGGTGTATAAATATTTATTTTAGTTTATTTATTTAGTTATCTTTTTCTTTGCATTTTAGTTTACCAGACTATGTAATTCTCCGGAGTTCTGCAGCATTGGGAAATCCCTTTTTGGCTTTTATTTTTTAAAGATTGATGAATTGGTATTATATAGAAATAACAAAAATTAGGTTTTAATTAATTCCCAGCCCCTTTCCGAACTGGAAATTCAAGTAATGTAATGAATCGTGGATGCCCTCCCATTTGGCTGGAAGGCTTTTCTAATCTTTGTCCTAAACACATTTAACAGGTCATTTAAAATCAGCAAAAGGTCTGAAGAAAGGAGACGGTGGATGTTTATGAGTTTAGCTCTTGTTCTTTATTGTGAAGGATGGGTGTTGTGCAGCATGATTAGTACATTTCTAAGATTAGATGTGACGTCAGTCATTACATTGCAAAAAAATGTCTTGAATGTCCTGAATGAGACCAATTAATTGGCCTGATTTCCTGCACAGAGCCCTATTGTCTGTGCCACAATTGAATGGAACCCAGATTGACCTAAATATGTCTGGCTTAACTGGGGGACTTCATATGTGTAATTTCATATTGACAAATGAAGGTACGAATGTAATTTTGGAAAAAAAAAATTTAAAAGTTCAGGACAACTTGAGAGCAAGAGCTTTAAATGTGTTTGGCAAAGATAATTTAAAAGCCACTGTATAGAGCAATACTCTAATGGAATTAGTGGTCAGTCACACCTCGACTTTCTTCCAAATAACGCACATTTCTTTCATAATATTATAAATACAGGCCTATAGTTCCTGCACATTTTTGTTTTTCTGAATTGTGTGAAATGGCTAATAAAAATAGGTAATACAAAACGATTATGTGGTCACCAAGGTGAATTGGTTTAGTCTTGACTTCGGACTACTTTTCAAATTGTATTTCATAAACCAACATCTCAGACGTTGTGTCAAAACGTTATGGGGTTTCAAATCAAAAAATGACTCGAAGGGGGTCTCGCCCAGGGTGTAATTCATTGTAGAACCGCCACTGGTCGCAGCTCAGTTGTTTCACTGATACTCGGTCGCAGGAAGAAGCGGTATCAGTATCTAAACACTCGTCCAGTGTGGAAATACTGGCCCCCGCCTCTGGATTGGTCAAGCACTGGCTCTCATAGGGGTCCTATAGTCTGTCAGCTCTCACTGCTGATATCAGAGTGCGCGCGACTTCGACTTTACCGAATCACACAGACGGCATCAGTAACGAATCATGAACCACTGAGGACTCCCTACGTTTTTACATTTCATTTTCGGAGGGGTTGCCTTTTCATCTTTGTCCGTGGGATTCCCAGTTTATTTTCTTTTTCTTTTTCATTAATTCCAGGGGTTGTCAACTCTGATGGTAAGTTGAAACCAACAACTAGGCTAACTAATAAGAAGTTTAGAGCCCGCGGGGTATCGATTGAATTGAATTTGTCTTATATTTTAATTAAATAATTCGCGCACGGCTTAAGTGCATTTTGAAGCGAGGTCAATTTAAGTTAAATTGTTTTTAATATTAAAACGCACGTTGAGTCCAGTTCTACATACATCAACATATTTTAGCCTCAAAACAAATAATACAAGAACGACCCCAATTACACCTCTTATTTAAAAAAAAAAGGACTTTAAAAACGACAATATACAGTGTTATTAAAATATATATTGTATATTAAATTCACGTTTTCAGCGCAAACTAGCAGTGCCATACACGGCAAGCTAATTCAGCATTTATTCCTTAAAACGAACTACTAGCCTAGGCCTATCTATTTTGTTACTATTCATATTTTTAAACTAGTGTTTTTATTTTATTTTTATTTTCTAGTTAGTAGTATGACATCTTTTAAAATTTCACCGCTATTCACTAGATGCTAGTAGCCTACTTATTTCAGTAGTGACTAATATATATTTAATTAGGTGTTTTTTCATTACATACCACTATTTAATTTACTACTACTCACTAGTTACTTGAATCTATTCCGGTTTTACTACTTGTTAGACACTATTAGACTAGATATTTATGTGTATTCCAATTGTTAATAGTGTCATTTGTAAATTAACTACACATCCCATTGTTTCCTGAAGTAAGCAGGAAAATCGTCCAAAAGTTAACACCCAGCATCAAACACCAGCAAGCTATCTATGTGTCCACACTATGTAGTCTTAATATTATGCTTTTAAATGAGTTAGCTTTATGTTGATTCCGTTCTCTATATTGTTAAAAGTTAACCATAGCCTACATTTAACATTTTTATTTTAGACATTGTATGTTTCTTGTATTTCACTGATATCAATTGGTGTAGATGTTAGATACTGTACTCCGGTCTGATAAATAGGTAGTAGTATGCAATAAATAAGGACTAGTAAACCTGCAATAGATATTATTAACTATTGTTGATAGTTAATAGTTGAAATCTGAACAGCTCAAATAATACAATGGCAAAAATTACAAAAATGTGTTACCACTAACAATGGAATAGTGACTAACAGCAAAACACTAATTAATGCATGATTACTAGTGAAATCAAAAACAATACTAGTCACTATTTGCTTACTGATGCATATTTATAGATACCATTTAGTTTAATAAATGTCGAACCTTTTCCAAGCTTGCCATAGCTGTGTGCCTCTGTATAAAGCATTTTCTGTACAGTGTAGATGTGTTTGAAGTGTTTTTTACAGCTACTTTTTGTAGATACCTGTGTAGTTTTATGAATATTTCAGTGGTTTAGCAAAATGGAGCCCGTTTAATATTTATTATGATTTTTTTTCTTTCTTTTTACTTCTCCTGATATGCCTTAAGGGGTTTACAATTCTTGCTGATGCTGGGGAACTGGAGAGGAAATAGTGCAGCTTTTCATACCTTAAGGGTAGTGTTTTGATTATATATATATTATATATATATATATATTGGAAAAGCTCAATATTCTGCTGTTATGTTACACGTTTTGCTGCTTCTGTACACTCTGTATTGTTTACTTAAAACCCCATGTTGCTATCAGTGTCAACAATAACTAACTCTTAAAATGGTTGACTAATCTCTTTTTTCCTCAGATCAACCATCACCCTTATCGCCATCAATCATATGAGGAAATGTTGGAGCATGAAGCATTTCTCAATCATGTACGATTGAAAAAAAATGAATTTTCAAATTTGTATATAAAACAAAGAATCGTGGAGTATGTTTCACAAGAAAATGCTATTTAAGTCTTTCTGCTTCAAAATGTCATGTTTAATTCAATGTGTTACTTGCCATTTCTTTGTAATTAATTATGAAATGAATTGTGTTCATTTTTTTTTTGAGTGAAAATTGTTTCTACACCACATTTTTTTCAGTCTAAAATTCTAAAATGATTACTTTATCGGTTTTTATCCAGTCCTTCTCTTCA